GGGGATGTAGTTCGGCGCAAAGGCCCCCAGTTCAATGCTCAGTAACAGAAAAATAACAAAAACAAAACAAAAACCAAGAATTTTGCTGGGGGTAAGGGAGTGCACACCACGTGTCGCAGGATGGCTAAGGGACCCAGGTCCTCAGCCACCCTAACTGCAGCGAAAGGGATCACAGCACGTCGGTAGGACCCCTCCTGCAGCTCGCTGAAATGCACACCTCCTGAGCCAAAGCGAGCTGGCTGAAGGGCCCATGCTTGGGTGCAGGGTGCAAGTACGTGCTAAGGGCCAGCAACTTGAAGCCAGGCCAGGGCTCTGGCACCACCCTCAGCCTTCTCCCACGGGCACAGGTTTCTGCATTTCTGCAACACGGAGACAAAGCCCTGCCTTGTGGCACACACGGCACACAGGGGCCTTGCAGCCAGAAATGGGAACTGCAGCTTTTCCATTAAATGTAACCTTTCCTCCTTCAACTGGCCACCAGACTCCTTCAAATCTGGGTGGGTGGGAGGAGCTGTAAAACCTCAGCCCATTAAATCACTTATGAGTTGCAGGTTCCTGCGAGGAAGGCAAGTTTGGAGACTGTAAGTCTCCTACACCGTGCCCTGGACTACCGGGTCTGCGGCGTTCAACCCTTGTAACTGCTGAAGAGATGGCAGGACCCTATTCCCAGTCACCAGAAGTGACCCTCTGAGCAGTTCTGGACGCACTCACTTTTCCCTCCAAGTCCAATTCTAAGGAAGAAAAACAAAACAAAACAAACAAACAACAAAAAAAACCCGTGGAAACAGCCCTTCTGTAACTCAAAAACTACTCCAGTCAGTGCTTATCTTTTGAAAGGGGTAAATTACCCTTGGCCCAGGCCAGAGAGCTTCAGTCCACCCAGAGGCTCAGAGCCTGATCCAAAACAGGCTGGGCCTCTGTGGTGAGACTGCACACTGCAGGGGGAAAAGGAGGGAGCTGGCTTTCCTGGAACCATTATTAAATCAACTTTCCAAGGACGGCCAGGAACTCCAGGCCCTCCTGGTCCCGCAGGAGCCTCTGCAGACTGCTAGGATTGCGTGTTGCTGGGGGAGGGGCTGCCAACACCACACACACACACACACACACACTGCATACAGCACAGTCTTTAAAAGGGAAGGGCTCTCTGTGTGAGCAGGCTGTAGGGTAGTTTGCTTTCAACTCTTGGATAAATTCTTTGTGTCTAAATTATGTTTTTTGAGGATAATAGCAGTATTACCATCAGCAGGGCCAAGACCACACAGTATATATTTGTCAGGTTCCTTAGTGTTGCCAAAGCATCAAGATAGCTCCACCCTTACAAGCCACCATCACAGCCTGGCTCTGAAGATGGCAGGGCTCACAAGTCTCACAAGGATTTGCAGAGACCGAGTCCAATACACTTTCTCCACTGCTGTGTCCCAAGGCACGAAACCGTATGTTTCTCATTATGTGGGGTGTCCTCTGGGGTCCCATGAAAATGGGCCAAGAGTGGCCATTTATGGCTTGCTGCCTGGAGTGGACACTGTCCAAGAACTCCACACGGGCGCCCACTTGGCCTCACGATGGCTTGAACACACGCTCATCCCTGACAGTTTATGGAGAGAGGACGCGCCCAAGAGCCAAGACCGATCAAGGGGCCAAGATGACAATGAAGGCAGTCCCAAGACAACATGTGTCCATGCAGAGACTTGAGCAGGAATATCCACAGTCCTTTTACTGCTAATGGGCAGAACTGCCATGTTCATGACTGCCATGCTGGATTTGTCTCCCCAAAGGTGCCATGTGTGAGAAGCTGGGCCCTTCAGGTGGCACCTCGAAAGGGTGCTGAAACCTTTTAAGAGGTTAGGCTTAATGAAGGTTATGAGGGATACTGATTTAGCTGGGTTAGGATCTGCACCAGTCTCTGTAAAAGTGAGCTGCTATAAATAAAAAGAGCTAGACTGAGGCAGGCGGGCGGGCGGGGTGGCGTCCTCCCGTAATCTCCACACTTGGGAAGCTGAGGCAGGAGGACAGTCCGAGTTCAAGGCCAGCCCAGATTTCACATGAGACCTTGTCTCCAAACAAAACAAGACTGGGTCCCTCCCTGGGTGTGGCTCCTGTCTCCCATGTCTTACACACACGAGGTAAGGCTCTGCCATTCTCTAATACAGACCCGAGGACCCTCCCAGAGGCAGAACAACTGCCACTCTCTTCTCTTGGATGTGCAGCCTCCAATACTATGAGCTAAACAAACCTTTCTTATAAATGGCCAGATTGTGCTCTTTTTTGTTCTTTTTGGTTTTCTGAGATAGGATCTCACTACACAGCATAGTCCAGGCTGGCCTCAAACTCTTGGTGATCCTCCAGCATCAGCCTTGACAGCGCTGGGATTATAGGTGTGGGCCACCAGCCTGGCCCAATTCTGCTATTTTGTTATGGCAACAGAAAATAGACTAAAACAATGGCTCAAGAGGCCAGCAACAAGTAAACAGATACACACAAACCATATAATTCCATTATATGAAATCCTACAACATACCAAGCTAATCTATGGTGACAGACAGTAGAGCAGAGGTTGCCTGGGGAAAGGGATGTTGAAAGCGTTCTGTGCCCTGATTGAGGTGGCAGTTACATGGGTTGTAGACATTCCTATCAAACTATACACTTAAAAGTGGCACATTTTCCAGTACGTGAAGTACACCATTGTAAGTCGATTTTTAAAAGACAGAGGTCTAGCTTCAGCCTTCCCTGGTATCCAGCCTCCTAACAGCCCTCACCCATTTCTATTCCCTCTCTCCTGTTCAGACATTACTTTGTGTCCATGAAGACCTCTGGCTCCCTCTGAACCTCCATTGCTTTTTCTACTTTGTTCCCTAGCCCGGATCCAGAACAGCAACTCCCATGATCTCCTCCTCCCCTCCTCCTTTCTCCTCCCACCCCCACTTCCAGCAGCAGCACCCTCTAGAACCTCTTAGGCCTAGACACCACCTTCGTGCCCACAAGTGCCTGGGTCCAAGATCTCTACCCTCCAGTCCTAGGCTGCAAAGAATGTTTGAAAAAGTTTTAAAAAGAAAAAAAAAAAAGGAAGCATTTCAGGTTCATGATAAAGTCACATTCTGAAGCCTTGCCAGCCCCTCCCCGCATGGACACACGCTTCTTTACTCCCTCACCATCCCACACTGATGGAACAACTCTTACCTTGTCTCGTCTTTGTCTCTTGTTACTCTGAATTGACATCCAACTAACTCGAAGTCACAGGTTCCATTTCTACAGTGTCTTTACTATTTTTTCTTCCTTTAAATCTTACAACGCCCACCATAGACACTCATCATAATCTCCTAACTTGTCTTTCTATCAACAGTGGTAGTAGCAGTAATAAGTACTTACTCTTTTTTTTTTTTTTTTTTTGGTACCGGGGATCAAACTCTGGCCCTTGTGCTTGTGAAGCAGGCAGTGGAACCAATGGGCCAAATCCCCGGCCCTCATAACTACTTACTCTTGATGAGTGCTTTATTTCGATTATCTCATTTAATTATTTATTGCTTTTCCCATTTTACAGATCAGCAAACCAAGGCTTACTGAATTTGAATAATTCGTCAAAGCAATTATGATCAGTCTATCCAGTGGCAGGGCAGGATGCAAATTCGGGTCTGCCTGATTCCTTTGTTCCATCCATCCAAATCCAGTTGCCAAATTAATTTTCTGAAAGCTGCATTATGTCCCTGAACTTCTCAAATTTCCCAGCATCTACCCATCGAAGTACCATTTCCTTAACATGGCATTAAGACTTCCATACGCTGAGTCCATTTCTTCAGGCATTATTTCCCACAACCACCTACTCAACAGACAGACTTTTCCCCACTTACCCCGTGCATCCATCCCACCTCCCGACCCTGGTTCGTGTTGTTTCACCTGCAATACCCTTCAATTCCCCCTTCCAGACCCAGACCAGAGAGTCTCAGCTCTCTTCTTTATGTGTTCTCACCGCACTTTACTATAATTCTACTGTGTAGTCTCTGCTCGTCTCTCTCCTACCTGAAGAGACAGGGTCCCACTTTGGGGCTCCACCATGTTTTAGCTCAGATCTTGCCTTTCTGTTACTGAAGGCGTCAAGAACAGGCCCACACCAGCTGCTGTACTGTCTAGAAAGTTTCACACGACCTTCCCTGCTCCTCCCCCACCAGCACCTAAGGGGACACATACTATATCCATCACCCACCATTCAACAGGCCCCTAAATAAAAGCCAGATGTATAGCGCGGAAACCCAGCCACCCATCACGTGCACGCTCGCACCCTTCTTTATGTGACCAGTGGCACTGACTGCCCTTTGTTTGAAATACTCGAACAGTAATTCTCAAAGTCCCTCAAAAGCCGTCCTGGTGTGCTGTACCCGTAATCTCCATGAGGTAGGTATGAAGACTCCCACAACTCAAACAAACCCCATGAACAACGGGGCAAGCCTTCCTGTTACAAAGAATCTCTGAATTTCCAACACCTTATAGGTCTCCATGAAATCACTGACACAAAACTTCTCAAAAGCAAACGCTCAGCAAGCTGATGTACAGGGCCTGTGAGACGGTCAAGGAAGGCAGAACGGCAGCCAGGAGGTCATGGCTACCTCCCCCGCCTTTATAGAAGTCTTTAGAACAACTTTCTAGAAGCCACAGACCATTACCAAGCTCCTGAATCCTAGCATCCCCTGCAGTCTAATCCAAATTCTAAGCCTAAGATCATGGTCACCCCCAACCCCATTTTATACAGCCCTGAAGTTAAGAGGCCACCTCTAGGGTCCCAGTCACGTCCTTTGCTCAGGAGAAGAAAAACATAAACCACACTAAGTGACCTCTGGCAAACGAATGTCACCAATCTTCATGTCTTCCCCTGACGTATTTGGTTAGGTTCACGACCAGGTCTCCTGAGCATCTCTCCTACAGGGAAGGAGCCCTCCCCAGTCGATCTGTCACCTCTGGCCATGTCCCCTGGCCCCAGTCTGGGCTGACCCCCGAGCCTGTCGCCTTACCTTGTTCAGGCAAGGTCGGGGCCGGCCTGGCAGTGCACAGTGTGGCTGTGACCAGCACAGCCCAGAAAAGGAGGGACTTCCAGCTCCACATCCCAGTTCTGCAGTTAGAGGTCGGTGGCAAGGCTCCACACCTCCATGGGTACTCCACCGGGATCCTCCTCCTCCAGCTGACTCTGGGGAAAGAAAAAGTCAAGGGTGAAGAGGGCCTGCGAGGGGCAGGGTGGCTCACACAGTCACACAGTCAATCACCCGGCGGTGGCCTGCGTTTCGATGTCCCCCCAAGGCCTGCTGTTGCGCCTCTGCCATGTGCCACCCTGCCTTGCAGCCAGCCGACAATGGACTGAAACCTCTACAAACTGCGAGCTAAACCAACCTTTCCCCCTTTAATTTTGGGGGTTGGGTATTTCGTCTGAGCCATGAGAGAAAAAAGTAACTACGATATCTGGTCTAGAAGAGTGCTTGAAACAGTAACTCTTTAAGGCTCAGAGACTGAGCCCACCCCAACATTGAACCAGAGGCCACGGGTCTCAACCAGACTGAGGGATGTTTTCATTCACGTTATGGTTTGGTTCTGGAAAGTTCCCTCAAAGACCACATGTTAAAGGGTTGTTCCCCAGCCAGGTGCTATGAGGAGGTGATGGAGCCTTCAGAGGTGGCCCCTAGGGGGAGCTTTTAGGTCATTAGGGGTGAGGTCTTTTAGGTACTTGAAGCGGATGATAGGAATCTGGTCCCTTCCTTTTCTTGGTATGAGGGATTGAACTCAGGACCCGGCGGCAGAACCCCAGCATCTTCTCTTTTTCATTCTTGGCCGCAAGGTAAACAGTTTCTTCTGCACATTCACTGTAACACGCTGGCTCACTCCGGGCCCAAAAGCAACAAACCTCCCAAACTGTAAGCTAACTGAATCATTCCTTTTTAAAAAGTTAATTACTGGGCCGGGGATTTAGCTCAGTGGTGCCGCTGCCTGCCTCACAAGCACAAGGTCCCCAGTTCGATCCCCGGGAAAAACAAACGGGGGGAAAACATTAATTACCACAGGTATTTTATTGCAGTAACGGAAAACGAACATGGTTTGATTGTGCAACTATAGCGGGAGTGCAGACGAAGTACCAGCCTGGCTGGGAGTATCACCATAAGGCTCTCCCAGGTGGAATCCTGGAGATCACTTGTGCTAGGGAGTGAAGGGCCTCACGAACAACTCAAACTTTCTGCCACTCTGGGCGTTGACGGCAGGCGACAGAAGCATGCCAATGACACCCCAGTGCAAGACTTCCTTCTGTCCAGGGCAACCCCGTCCCTCTGGTGAGGAATGCAGAGATGAACTGAGGACGGGCCAAGAACCAGGAAAAGGGAGCCAAGTACAGAGACAGTAGCTGTGGGACTCCAGGAACACGTCAACCCCCTCTGGCCCTGTGAAGGGGGTAAGCCGGAACATAGGGTTTTGGTTTGGGTTTTGCTTTGTTGTGGTTCTCGAGATCAAACTCAGGGCTTTGCACGCGCAGGCGCTCTACCACTAAGCCGTACCCACAACTCTCCAAGGTTCTTCCTTCCACAACGAAACGCATCACAGGCATCTCTCGTTCTACCAGCCTCAGTCCCAGAGAACAGAAACCTCATTAAATGCTCGCTAGAACCTCGGCGTGTAGGCCCAGGAGGCCCACCCAGTTCTCTTGGCACTGGGAGGTGACAGCTGACGTCTGCGGGAAGCGTCCAGCAGTCAGCACGGCGTGGAAGGCGAAGGTCCGACTGACCGCAGTCAGGCCTAAGCGTGGACTCAGGGGTGGCTCACGAGTCCGTTACAAGTGCAGTGGCAGCCCAGGCCCTTCTCGGGTCTGCAGTGGGAGTACTTAAAATGGCTCCCTAGGGTCTCAAAGAGCAGGTTGCTACTGCCAGGCGCTAAGGAACAAGACCTTGTGAGCACCACTTGGGCTGTGTGGGGGTAACCACCTCTGTTTTCTAGGTGGCTTCTGGCCAAGCTTTTCAGAGAATCTGCCTCCCAGAACACACCCTCATGTGGTGCTGCGAGGCCTCCCGGAGCAGCGAGGCAGGCCTGGCTGGCAGGAGACCCCCAGATTCTTGGCTGAGCTCCCATGAGCTAGACCAGCAAGAATACGTCACACTACCACTAGCTCCTGTGCAAGGGTTACCGAAATGATTTCCAGTCAAGGTTGAAGTAAGCATTTCTTTCATTTTGCTAGATGTAGGAAGGGGACTAGAAACAGAAGAAGTATTTATCGTGTGCCAAGGCACAATTCATTTGTAACGATAAAGCACAATTGATTCCTCACTATATTCTGGGGGATTCCTCCAAGCAATGGAGAAAGTTGGGCTCAAGAGATTAGATGTTTTTTGCGGATGGACAGGAAGCTGGGGAGGAACAGGAGTATTGGTATTATGAGCACCAGGTTCTCAGGGCAGGAGAATGCAAATAAGGCGCCGATCTGGGGCTGAAGATGCAGCTCAGGGGTACAGTGCTTGCCTAGTATGGGTGAGGGCTCAGTTTTGATCTCCAGCATCTTGCAAAAAAATAATAGTAAAAAGGGGTTCTACATGATGCAGACTCAAAAGGATTCCCATCCCATCAAGAAATCAAGTACAGCCGGGCGTGGTGGCGCACGCCTGTAATCCCAGCACTCAGGAGGCTGACACAGGAGGATCGCTGTGAGTTCCAGCCTGAGCTACATAGTGAGTTCCAGGTCAGTCTCAACTAGTGAGACCCTGTCTCAAAAAAAAAAAAAAAAAAAAAAAAAATCAAGTACATAAGGACAAATCTGAGTTTACTCTGGATTTCCAAAGTCTTGATTCTCTACTTCTCTGGTGGAGAGACCTCTGGGAGCAGATCTCAGATGGGCCAACCAGGACATACGACAGAGCACGATCTCTGGCCTGGTATGGAAGTAATGCTTAGTAGGGCATCCCTAGACTGTGTGCCTTCATCCCAAAATATACCTCACTGATACAGGTACCTGAAAAGGTATACCTGACTAGGAAAACCTAAGTTCCACAGTAACTGCCAGGCTACTGAATAAATCTTTAGTCCCCCCAAAGGGAGGATGGGAGAAGGTGGTATTGTCTTGAGAAGATTAAGCTTGGTTTCAGTTGTAACAGACAGACAGCTTCCACCACTGCTCAGACACCTTGTTCTGAGAAACACCCCTCGTCGCAGAGGTGGGCTGGCTGCAGACTATGCTTTTCAGCTCCATGACCCCCGTGTTTCATACTAATCTGGCAGCTTCCCTCTGACTCACTTTCCAAAAAGTCTCTCCCTATGCTACCCCTCTGGACCTTGAGCTGCACAAAGATTCTGTAAACACCAGGCCTCTTGGCACCAACTCTGGCAGAGCTGAGTGGCACCCACCCCATTCCATACCTGCAGGGACACGACCAGTGGTTCGCATGCTGTCTGGGATCCCGGGGACCGTCGCCTCACCTTCTCTTCATTCACTGATTAATGAATTCTTAAAAGCCCTTAGGAACAGCCTTGCTCCTTCACTGTCCACAGGTGTGACTCGTAGCCTCACAGGTGTGCGCAGCAGCTGCCCAGAGACCCCACAGCTGCTCCCTTTCCATCCCTGCAACAGCAGCAGCCAGGGATGCTGGGGCTGCAGACACACCTGCCTGGATGGAGAGGTCCTCAGTGAGGAGGCGAAGAGGGGCACGAGATAGCTCACCTCAGTTTTCACAGTGCAATAAAGGGCTAAAATAGTTGCCCTGTCTACCTCCCAGGTGGTTACAATAACTGAATAGGCAAGTGATACAAAATGCCTACTGTCCTCTCTCAAGAGCTCATTCAACAGAAGGTGCAGAGTGTCAGAAATGCAGCGGCTGGACCATGTGACCCCTGCATCCCTCTTCACTTCTACAAGATCCTATGAGCATCAAACCTCCTTGTCCAAGCCGGGAGTGGTGGCGCACACCTGTAATCCCAGCACTCAGGGGCTGAGGCAGGAGGATCGCTGTTGAGTTTGAGACCAGCCTGGGATACACAGTGAGTTCCAGGTCAGTCTCAACTACATAGTGAGACCCTGTCTCAAACCACTCCCCAAAAAAAAACTTGTCCAAGCTGGGCGTGGTGGTGGACGACTATAATCTTATCCTCCAAAGGTAACGGATGAATTGCCTTTCTGTTCATTACCTTGCCACCCTGGGCCGGTCACTTAACCTTTCCAAGCATCAGTTCCCCACTTGTTAGACGGGGAAATATTTGCCCTCTCCACACCACAGGCTGCAAGGATCAAATGGGCAGTGTGGTGAAGGGGCTACTCTCCTCTCTAGAATACCGGTCAAACGTAAGGAGTGAAACGCATCATGCTTCATGCATGGCACGCTCAGAATTGAGTCGTTGGTGGCAGGTGGACCTGAACTTCCTAGGGTATTTTTCATCCTTTGCTCTTGGTCTAGCTGGCTTTTCTGTTGGCCTCTGGCCACGTGTAGCTCTTGAACACTTGAGCTGTGGCTACTGCAAACTGGGATGTGTCAGATGGAAAAGTAGTCACTGGTTTTGCAAACTTAGTACCCAAAAAAAAGAAATGTTATTCATCATTACTTTGGTTTTTTTGGGTACCAGGGATATCGAACGTGGGCCCTTGCGCTTGTGAGGCAGACAGGCGCTGGAACCACTGAGCTAAATCCCCAGCCCTCATTACTTTTTTTATAGAGACTGGGGGTGTGAATCGTGGTAGAGCATGTCCTTGGCATTCCTGAGGCTCCCCAAATTTTTTATATTGATTACATGTTCAAGTGACAGTCTTGCTAAGTTGCTAAGTTGCCCCCGCTGGGCTGAAACTTTGGATCCTCCTGACGAGGCCCTTCCACTGCTAGGATTACAGTGTGTATCAGAGCACCTATCTTCATGCTGTATTTCTACTGCACAACACAGCCTGGGGCAATCTCTGTGCCTCCATACCATAAGTACCCTGTGTCCTCTCCACTCTGCAGTGGGCTGGGTCTTCCCTGTTCTGAACCCCACCGTTAGAAGCTATCTCTTTCATGGGCCTTCTGGTTGGAAAAATCCCATCCTCTAATTTTCTAAAACATGCCGCGGCCTCTCTCCTGTGGCACTTATGTCCCTGTACATGGTTATTATGTTTCTCTCCCACGAAACTGCAGGCATTTTTAGAGCAGGGTCTGTGCCTAACTAATCTGTTAACACCCTTAGCACCTGTACGTACATGGCAGATGGTGGCACATTTGTTAACTGGATGGATAAATGAATGAAAGTGTGTCCCTTTTCAGAAAGGCTTCAGACCAGTTTTTCAGGTTCTGAAATTTTCGGATTTTGGAGTATTTCAAAAGGCTCTGCCTACCAAAACCTGAAATGCTCTGAAATCCAAAAATTTGAGCACCAACATGACGCAAGCATTTCGGGTTTCAAATCCTCTGATTAGGAACATTCAACCTGTATTGATGCTCTTTAAGGATACAGAATGGGGGCCAGGCGTGGTGTCGCATGCCTGTAATCCCAGCACTCGGGAGGCTGAGGCAGGAGGATCGCTGTTGAGTTTGAGACCAGCCTGGGCTACATAGTGAGTTCCAGGTCAGTCTCAACTACATAGGGAGACCCTGTCTCAAAAAACAACAAATAAGCAAACAAACAAAGAATATAGAATGGAAGGCTGGGGATTTAGCTCAGTGGTTCTGCTGCCTTCCTGGCAAACAAAAGGTCCCAAGTTCAATTCCCAGTACAAAAAAAGAAAAAGAAAAAAAAAAAGAGTACAGAATGAGAATATAAAAAAAAGCCACAGCCCTTACTCACTGACAGTCATCCCCACTCTATTCCAAAGAAAACCAAGTGTGAAGCTTTCTTTCTTTCTGGTTTTGTGAGACTGGGTCTCCCTATGTAGTTGAGACTGACCTGGAATTATTTAGCTCAGGCTGGTCTGGAACTCAGAGATTCTTCTGCCTCAGCCTCCCGAGTGCTGGGATTACAGGCAAGCACCACCACGCTCAGTTTAACATCTTGGTGTCCCAAGAGCTGAGGAAGTGGCACAAAACCATGAATTCCCTTCAGACAGGAATTAAGACGTAACAGAAAGTTACCTTTCTCAAAAGTGAGTGATCTTTGCTCCATGTTGAAGGCAGGAGAAGTGTTTTAATCAACATTTTTTAAAAGGCAGCTCAGTTTACAAAATGTTAGTTGGCCCAAAGGAAATGCTACAATTACACCTTGGCACTGGGCTGCTTTGAAGCTCACAGAAATTGGTATTCAATGCATTTTGATGCAAAATTTGGTCCCAATACTCCTGGTTTGTTAGGTGCTCTGGGCACAAGCCAGAGCTTGTGATGTTGATTGCCTCGCTACCCTTTTCAGCCCAGACCACCTGGTACTCCTCAAAGCTTCTGAGCTAACCAATGAGGTGGCACTGTAACTGTTTGGGTCTCTGCAAAAAAGTGTCCAAATGTCTTTGCAAATGAAGGGGGAATTAGCACAAGTTAAGCACTAACCTTGACAGGCCTATCTAGGAAACCCTGCTGAAGACAGGGCCAGGACTGCAGCGTTATCATTCCTGCAGTTCCTCAAGTGGATGTTACTAACTTGGGGTGGGCAGGGAAACACCAAATCCTACGGTTTCTTCAATGGAAGGGGTGGTGGGGCGAGGAGAGAATATTTGTTTAAGGGAGATGCAACCCTGGGAAAAAACAAATACCTTAGCCTTCAATCTAGTATTTAATCCCCTCTGGCAAAACCAGAACCTTCTCTAAAGCGCTACATCTGGACTCCCACCCGACCATTTACAGAGCTCTGGGGAAGGAAAACACAAGACAAATTTCCCAAGAGGAAATTAAACTCATCTCAAGTGATGTGAAGGAGGCCCTTTCAGAGCGGCGTACTGGAATCAATTCTATCGGACTCCCTTTCCTCCAATAGCAGCGGGCTCAAACTTCCTAGGAAGCTCTTTAACAGCCATTTTGATGAAAGATTTTAAAAATGGAGGCAAGAAAAAAGCCTTCAAAGAAGCTGGCTGCTAAAATCCCAAGCTCACCAAGCAAATCCTGCCTATTTTTAGAGTCTTGTTTCAGGTCAGTATCTCAAATAAACAAAAAGCACACACTTAAAAGCAAAACCCATGGATTTGCCTGCATCTCCTCGGCTGGACTCTGCCTTCTGGGGTGCAATTCCGGTTTCTTGCCCTCTGGAGTGCCCAGGAATAAAGCTAGCTCAGGTTTAGGGATGCCTGGACGTACTCTAATCCTCTCCCCTAAAGAGGAAGGGCTAACATCTGTGATGCTCCTTCCTTTCTTCCTGTCCCTTCACTTGCTGTCCTAAGGGCACCAAATGGAACTTTCTAATACCAAGGAAAAGCAGCACCCTAAAGCTGTCTACTCCGGAGCCAAAGAAAGTGGTGCCCCCTTTGACCCAAGTCCCTGTTGTGAAAATACCTCCAGCAGGGTGTGGTGATGCACGCCTGTAATCCCAGCACCCAGGAGGCTGAGGCAGGATTGACATGAGTTCGAGGCCAGCCTAGACTACACAGTGTGACCTTGTCTCAAACAAAAGTAGAGTAAAAGAAGGCCTTTCTAAGGGCATGGTGAAAAGCAGACAGTGAAAGTGCACGTGCTGGAGTGGCTCTCCATCCCGATGACTCTCATTAAAAAGCTGACACCCAGCTATGACTAAGAGTAAAGCAACAGATATTGCACGGAGCTCATCACTAGTGCAGCACATAAACATCCCAGCTGGAGCCCTGCCGGCCCTCCCTGTCCCCAGACACCCTGCACTGTGAGGGTCGGCAGCAGCCCTGGAGGTCTCCCAACCCACTGGGGGGAAATATGTAAACAAGTCATTAGGGACGGAGGCATTCGCGGGGACAGGCGCGGGGCAAGGGCAGAGCTTAAGGGCCCTCGGTCAAGAAAAGGAAGGCAGACGACCCATGTGTGGGGTAATGAGCCAGACCGAGGCACGTCCCTGGGGGCCCGGGTACTTAGCTTTTAAACAAGCCACAGAGAGGAAGGAAACCGGGAGCCCTGACCAAGGGAGGAAAATGGCCACTTTCTGCTCCACAGTCTCAAGGCGAAGGTTCTACGACTTACACGGTATTCTAAAAAAAGCACCGGTCCCGAAGCGCAAAAGGGCAGGGCACATTTGAGAAGGAAACAGTCACCTTAATTACCATGTCTAGAGAAAGTGTGATTTCATTACAGCCTCCAAAACTACCGCCCAAAGAGGGAAACCAGAGAAGTGTTTTCAATTTGAAAAGAGCCTGGAAAGGAGAGGGTGAGAGGGACCAACTCTCCCAGGGCGCCGCAACTCTGGACCCTCAGATGATTTCCTGCCTCGGAGAATATTCAAAAACAATTCCACACTCCACCCCCAACCCCTCCTTCAAACCTGTGGCCGCTACTTAAGTGGTAAAATACCCTACCTTAGTTTCCGAAGGTGGTAGCCCAAACGACTCCCTAAAAACACTTCAGGAGCGCCTCTGCCAGCCAAAGGCGGGGTTCGCTCCGGGAGGGTGGGAAGGGGACGCGGGACGCCGCCGACCCCGCGGCCCGGGAGAAACCAAAGCTTTGGTTGTTCCAGAAACATCTGTCAGCGCCAGCTCTGGGCCAGATCCACGATCACAGGCCACTTCTAGCTTAGGAAATGTTGGCGAGTGCTTGCCCCACCCCAAAACCTTTCTCGCTCAAGGTAGAAGTCACCCCAAACGCTTTGATTAAATAACTTGGGACTCCAAGGTAACTTTCTTTTCTTCCCCAACCCCAAAGCCTCGTCTCCACGTCTCGCAGTAAGAAATTTTAGGGACAAGTTGAAGAATTCCAGTTTTAGCGGAGGGGAGGGGGAAGGGGGATGCTGACGGCCGCGGTGGACCCGTGTGGGGTGAAACGGAACCAGATGCGGCTTCCACATCTGGGAGGTGGGGGTGGGGTGGGAAGGCACCGCGCACACGCTTTTAAAGTGGGCCATAGCTGCTACGGCCAGAAAAGAGCAGCAGACCCCCCACCTGCACCGCTCCCCAAAGGGCGTCTCGCAGCCTCACGAGGGTTTTGCGTCCTCTCTGAACCCCAACTACAGCGTCAACAAACTTCCCCGTAAATGTGCTTGCGGACTCTCTTATGCCCTCCCCACGTAACGGGTGGAAGGGAGCGGGGATCTGCGGCCGAGGAACCGCACCGGACAAAACCCTAACCCATCCCCCACTCCGGTAACCGGCTCGGAACGGGACGCCCCCGCCCCCCACGCCCGGGATCCACAGCAGACGCCCCCGCCTTCCCCAAACTTCCGATCCGCTCGGAAACCGTCTGAGCGGAACATCACCCCCTCTTGGAAAGCGGAGTCTCTGCTTGCTCCCCGCCAAGGCAGACTCAGCCATTTGGTGACGACACCTTCAAACCCTCTCCAAGACAAGCTAACCTTCTTTCCTCCGCTTCCTTTCCTCCTCCTACGCCCACCCAGCCGCCTCAGCGAGGACCCCAGACCTTCCCGGAGGTGGGAAGGACTCGGGTCCCAGTTCCACGCTGTGCCAAAAGCTACCTGCTGGATTGGGATAGATCCTCCCCGGGGTCGGAGGAGCTGGCACGGACGGATCACGAACGCACACGCACACGCACACACCCGCGCGCGCCCCACCTCGCCGCCTCCCCAGTCCGAGGAAGCCGCGGGCCTCC